GCCTTAGAGTCGAAGGATGAGGAGGATGGTGGAGCTGCTTGAATTTGAACTCTGAGTGGTCGAGGAATTATGCCCTTGATGGTCTTCTTTTCGTTGGTGACCTCCAAAAGTTGCATCTTGGTTAGGTTATCCCTAGTGAACATCTTAGTGGAGTGGATGGTTGTGCACTTGCATTCTCTAAATTGATTCCGAAGTAGCGTTCAAGACGAGTAACATATCCTCCCCCATGGATGGTCTTTGCTGCAAGTTGGTTATCTTCTTGTAGAGGGTTTTGAGGATGACCAACCCAAGTTTCAAGTATGGCTTGACAAACATCGACCTTAGAAGGTTGATGTGTCTCTTAGTGAGGTTGCTAGCGGATTTTTCCTTAGGAGCAACAAAGTAAGAGATGATGTTGTGGATAATTCATCATTCGCACATCAAGGAGGTACTCTTGGTGGATTTGGGGCTGAAAAATTCTTGGTGCTCCGACCTTTTAAGTTGACTAGTGAAGAAGTCCTCCAGGTGGTCACAAGAGACCAACTCTTCTCCGTGAAGTGCAAGGCCTTCTTGAGTGAAGATGAATCCGGGAGGGTAATTGCCCATAGCCTCAGTGAATTCATTGAAGCTCATGACCTTCGGTATACCTCCAAGGTTGAAAGAGGGAGTTCTTGGAAAATCCCTATTGATGGCGAGCACCAAACAAGTCAATGTGGTCAAGAATTCGAGGGTTGGTTCGAAACAGATCTTCTCATTAATCGTTTAAAGGTTGAGCCACGTCGGGTCTTGGATGTGATCTTGAATAGGTGCGGCGGCTCCAAACTCTTACAAAGCTTCCCAAGAGATGCTACAATGTTCACCAAATGTTCTTGAGGCAAAGTGCACATACTCGGTCTTGTCCTTGTCCCCGAACTCAAGATATGGGTGAGGTGCCTTTTTCCCACCCTTGATTGAAGTTGATGACTCTGACACTTTTTCGATTTTCCCATCCTTAAAAAGCTTAGTACACATCATTAGCACAAAAATGGAAAGTGAGCGAAAATGAGGAAGTGTCATGCATACACGAGATAGTAGAAAGAGTAGAGAGGAGGCAACTTAAAGAGCAAAACAAAGATGAAAAAGGCTCCCTTCTACTCCCACTTTGTTCTCTAAGACATTTGATCGAACACCTTGTGGGCACACAAATAAGACAACTTGAATGTAAGGTATTCAAATAAATAAAGTACTACCATGGAAGATATGAACCTCAAAAGATCAAAGAAGTCAATGTTAGGCCCAAAATGCCAATAGAAAAGTGGTAATAAGCACTTTACCACAAGCCATGATAAGCACAAGTCAAGGTGAAAAAAGGGGGATCTTCCTAAACTATCCTTAAGAATGAGAAGAAACCTCTTACCTTAAAAAATAGGGAAATGGCAAGACTCTTTCTCAAATCATCGTCTCAACTCTACACAGGACGCGCACTGTTCAATTGCCGTGTGATCTCGATCTTGCTCCGAAGGAGAGGAAGGGACACTAGATTGAGGAGGCAACCTTGTATTTATAGAAAAGTCTTGCTCTATCGAGGTGGATCCGCATTGGTTGCTTCATTTAGTCTCTCAAGTTCCTTGCTAATCTCGTTTATCTGACCTTGAATAGCTAGTACTTGAATCTGAAGTTCTTCCTCCTGTTTGATGTAAATGCATAGCTCTTCCACTTTCTCCTGATCATTTTATTGAAAATCGGTGGGATATCTTCTCTCGATCAGCCCCTTGAAGGTGTTGAAAGCCCCTTGTAGAAGATTATGTTGAGTTTCTCGTTAGAATATGCATGTCTTGGGCTTCTTTGCACCAACTCCTCAAATCTTTCCGAAACTTGTTCAAAAGTTTCTTGGCTCTCTTGTTGAAAAGTGTCAATCTCTTTCCTTCGCAGGACGGCCATTGTTCCAACAAGATACTGAAACACAAATGCTTCCATGTCTTGGCCCCAGGAGGGAGCAGTGGATATGAACTCTTTCTACAAAACTGTTGGGTCTCCTAGCAGGGGGTAAGTGAAGAAGATGATGTTTAATTGATCTTGATTGAATCCGGAAATCTTCAACACCTTGAGCGCCTTTAAGAAGCAGGCCATATGATCGATGGCACTTTCATCATCCCTTCCGTGAAATTGCGATTGTCGGCGGAGCATACCAATAGTTTCCTCGGCAATACGCCTTAGCTAGGATGGATCCAAGGAAAAAGTCTATTTACACACAAAAACTTCCACAATCAGTGACGTACGAAGTTGGATAACTATACAAACAAGGATACCACTATGAATGCAAACTACGAAACGAAAGCATAAAAACAAAACAAAACAAAATGAAATAAACCAACAACACAAACACAAAACAAACAACTAAAGCAGGATAAAAACTAACTAACAACTTAATGGTTTTCTACTAGTTACCAAGGGTCCCCGGCAACTGCGCCAAAAAGCTTGATCACTTGAATCTGTGCATGTTAACAATTAAATTCATAAAATACGGATAATAAACGTGTTATACGGGGTTTATGCGTGTTTAGTACGGGAGCCATCAAATGAATGGGGGAAAATAAAACGGCTTGACAATAATATGGATACGAACGTTTTAAACGGATAAAGTACGTACGGGTACATATATGTGTATTAAACGGAGTATTTACTAACTATGCTTCGGGGAACTAATCCTCCCCCTAGCTTAGGGATACTATGCATGTATAGATACTTAATTAGCGTTATCGAATGTGGTGAGTGAGCTCTTTTTCGTGGGCCTTCATCGTTATCCACACGCCTTCGAGTACGCCTCTCCTAAACCCATGTTTCATTCACCTCGATCTAGGCTATCGTATCTAGGGCAATAAGCTTATGGCTAATTTCAATGGATAGTATCCACCTTCCACACTGAGGTTTCATCCCGGGTTTCATCTAGGAGGGCTACCTACAAACGGGGTTTGGTCGCCTCGACCACTATAGGCCCCCATTCACTCATCTAACCTAAACTCACCAGATGGCGCATACCCGTCTAACCCTAGAACTCTGTACCTAGCGCGGTAGCATAAAGCACGCTAAGAGGGAAGATTGGGGCCAGTTGCCCAAGCATTATCATTTTGAAAAGAGTGACATTAAGAATCTACTAAACAAACACATTCATTCATCCAAACCCTAAAATATTCATACATACATAATAAACCCTAAAACTAGAGTTTGGGGTTTAGAACCCCTAGTACCTTAGATGACTACTCCATAAAGGAGGGAAGAAGATGCATGGTAGAAATAGAAGAAGACTTGAAGTTGGGGAAGATCCTCCTTGCTCTTAGCTCCTCCTTCTTCTCCCTTCAGCTTCTCTCTCTAGATCCAGAAATTTCACCCAAAATCAGCTCACTTAAAATGGGAAAATGGGTCTTCTATTTATAGGCATTCTGGACTCGGGGAAGTTCGCGGCCTGAGGCTGGGAGATTGCAGGTGGGATCTTCTGTGGATAGGTCGCGATCTCAAGACGACGTCGTCATGACGTTCTAAAGGGGGAAGATCGAGGGCTGACTTCGCGGTAGCAATCCTCGAGTCGTGACCGTGATCTTCCGATCCTCGCGGGAAAAGTGAATGTTGGCCGTGATGCGACTGGGAAAACTCTCTGCTTCTCCAACGCTCCTTCCACGCGAAGTTCGCGCCCTGGTCCTTCAAGATTGCGGTCACGATCTTTGGTTTCTGGGTCGCGATCTTCAGCGAGTCTTCATGACTGGAAATCTCGGTCGTGATCTTTGACTTCTAGGCCATGATCTTTGATCCTTGCCCCTTTTCTACACTTGTGACCATGTACCTAATTTGCACATATTGACAATGTTTAGATGTTTAAACACATGAATTGGCACAAAACATACCCCCAAAATGGAGGGTAAATAACACTGATTTTGATGTTATCAGTGGGTCGTGAGTAAACCATAATCCACCCATGCTCTCCTAATGAATAGTGGATTACCTATATTAGAATCCATACCCATCCATAGAAACCGCTCACAACATAATGGGCAGGTCAATTGGAGTGGATTTATATAGATACGTGGGTGGGTTCAACCACCCCAAGCAAAAGAGCTTAGGATTGGGTCAGTACACATTGGTTACTGACCTATGAGTAACTAAATATGGACCTTTAGATCTAAGTGGGCCCATAAAATCTAGATCTAAAGATTGTCAATTAAAGGCATTTTATTTTCCTTAGTTTTCCTAATTCACTCTTATCTTCTTCGTTCTAACTCGGATTTCAATTTTTTTTGCACAGATGGAACGAGTTCATTGTGCTCTACAAAATGAGATCAATTTTCAATATATTACGATATTTTTTTTTTCATACCACCCTTTACCAACTACATACCATATGGTAACTTCTTCGTTTTTAAGTCGTTTTTGAAAACGTTTGCTCAGAAGGAACGAGTTCATCATGATCTATTGGATCTACAAATTTCTGGGTGAAAAAAATTCTGGACAAAAAATTACCATACTTTACCACTATGGTATGTGGGTGGTAAATTGTAGTAAACAATGATGAAAGTTGTAAATGACAGTTAGTATACTCCTACTAACATATGCATTCAACCTTCTTACCATATTAGTATGTTCATACCATCATGGTCGCTTTCTTAACATATGATATTAAATAGGAGCATACCATATGGTAATGACGGGTAAAAATGACTCAAGTTTTTTGTACTAAACATATATCAAAGTGGATATCATTTTAAAGAGCACATTTAATCTGATTTAACTGTGCAAAAAAAAATTAAATATCGACTTAAAACGATTAAAGGGGAAAAGATAAAATGTTTTCCAGGAGATAGAGGGATGCTGACGTGAACTGATTATTCATGGTTACTCACCACAAGTTTACTGACCTGATCCGCTCCCTCCCAAGAAAGGATGTGCTTTGCGTCCATGGATGAGACATTGCTTCTCAATTATTCCCACTGTTAACGCTGAGCTTATAATAATTATATGAACAGACTTTGAAAATAAGCTAACATGTATGTGATTTTTATAGTAAAGCACATCAGACTAATCACAATCAACAGTTTGCTTCAAGAACAAGAAGCGCCAATAATCATGAACTAGTGTTGTTTCAAGGAAAGAGCAACAATCTAATCACCCAATCCAACCAAGACCCTGTTTGGTTTTGTATTGGATGGATCCAACCCTGATTATTTATGTGCAAGAGTTTGCCGTGGTAGTTTCTTGCTTTCTTTCCCTCTTTTTCCTGAATGAATGAGGATCGTTGAGAGGATATGATTCCAAGTATCAGGGACACCAGCAACGCACCAGTGCGTGCAGTCCATGCCCCCGAGGCCATTGTGCGACGCTGGGTGTCCATCTTTTCTCATGTATGACATTGCAGTTATATTCAGGAAATGAACCGGTTTCCTTATGCTTCCTATGATGTCTTGTTGAACTTTTAACGCCAATGGGACCACGGACTGGGTTAATCCTCCTGCTATTGGTTTTGTCTCATTAGAACAATCTCTCACTCCTGGCCTCCCCCAAGCGGCCCCACTACGTACATCAAAAATAATAAACACAAAGAAGTTAGTTCTATACAATTCGAATCCAAAAATCTAACTAACTTGTCTATCGAGAAGCCAACAGCGCTGGGATGTCATGTTTCCTTACTTGTAGTGAGCAGGAGAAACGCCTTGAAAGAATACACTTGTTTTCCTTGTATCTACGCTTGAATCAACCCATTTTGCCCATGTTCGCAAGGCTTTTGTGAAGGCCGTCATTCTGTTCATGTCCTTAGATATGATCTTCCCATCTCGAATGTAATTCCATCTGAAATTGCATAATCAACGTGATAATTAGTGCATCTTTTCCTGTTCTTATTACTATTGGGCGATGATCCAAAGGCATACATTACATACCCTTGCTTAGGACCTTTCCTGTACCACCAAAGCCATGTGTTGAAAATCAGTACATCCATTTGCTTCCAAAGATTGCCACTGCTTACTGAACCAAGATTTAAGACACGACGACCTATCTTGTCCTGCTGGATGTCTACCAAATAATGGCTTGTGAACAACATTATTGACACTCCATAATCCTGATCAACCCAAAAACAAAAAATCAGATTACATACTTACAAAGCAAATGTGTAAAAAATAATTATCTCTAAATGATCCAAACTTTTGACGAACAATAGGTTAATCTAGTGGTAATTAAAATCACTAGCTTTGAACCTGAATGTCCAACGTTTAAATCTCTTAAGGACTACCTCATCGCAAAAATAACCTATATCACCCTAATATATAAAAAAGAAGAAAAAAAGCCTGTATTGCCAGGTGAGCCCATGCAGAGAAGGAATAAAGAAATGGCCTCCGGCCCAAATTGGAGATGATAATTGGGAAATGGAAGTTCGTGGGACTGGGATGGGGATTTCTACTAGACTACAAAATGTTCTTTCCGTAAATGTATCGGATGTGGGTCGGTGGATGCAGCCTGTTGTCCGAATACTTTTAATTAATGTTAAACAATAATAACAATATTTGATGGAATTACATTTGATTTGGTATAGGAAAAGAGTCCAATTTATTTTACTATTGAAAAGTCATAAACTCATATAAAATATAATCTCTACTAAGTATATTTGATGGAATTACATTTGATTTGGTATAGGAAAAGAGTCCAATTTATTTTACTATTGAAAAGTCATAAACTCATATAAAATATAATCTCTACTAAGTATATTTTATCTTATCCAAGTCGTGAATATTATCATATATTCACTCTTTCTTTCTATCATTGAAATATATATTTCCAATATCAATAGTGTCTTTTTTTCTTCCTCAAATCGTTATTATCTCCATCACCAAATACACTAAACCCTAAGCACAAATTAAATATTTGCAATTGCATAACTTGAAACTGGAACCTGAACTTTTAAACTGAAAACAATGAGGTAAAATGTTTAGTCGAAAACTATATATGTTTAGTTGGTACAAAGTTCGTTTCTCGAATGATTTGAAGTTAAAAAAAATGGAAGAGTAAAGATAGTATTACAAAATGGGTATTGTCTTTGATGTTTTAATAAATTCTCATAAATACACGTTATAGCATTTTTTAAATTTTTTTCATTACTAATTTTCAATTAATCTGATATGAAGCAAGAAATATAGTTAGAACTACCGGAAAAATAGTTAGTTGAAATTTGTGAGAGGTCGAAAAAATCCTTAGTTGCAACGCTTGAGATTTTTGCTTAAATTAGAGTGGCTAAAGCAAAAAAAAAGAAGGTTATGCACCAAAACCATAGCCTCATTAACGAAATTGAGTTTTACAACAACTCGTGCCTTTATTTCTTTCAATGTTTTAGTGGAGATTGATGATCGGTTTTAATCTTTGACTCATGTTAGAGAAGATGGTGCATCTCGATCACTTTTTCTTATTGATTATTATGAGACCATGCATAATTTCTTTTAGACACTCCAAATTTATAATAAACAGAAAATACACTAATACAAATAGTATGAAGCTCAGTAATCTCGATTTGAAGATAGTAAGCTCTTGGATACTATCACATCTTGTCTTAGAGGAAGTTATGGATTGAAATCTCAGTCTCACTTCTTATTTTGACAAGTCCGCATTGGATGAACTATGCATTGACCTTAACATACAATTTGGTATAAATGAATTCCATAAGTTTTTAGGAATCCATTTTGAAATGAAATCTTTTTTTTTAAGAAGAAATAAAATATTTTTGTGTTTGGTATTAAAAGAATTAATTTTCAATTCTAAATTTTGAATTCTACATAATTGGAGCTAGTTATAGTAATTTCGCGGAATTGAGATGAAATTTCCAAATGAATTCCAAAAGCATTTCACCGGAATGACATAATTATCCTTATTTATTAACTAAATTACTTCTACATGCGACAATGCACAGATTATGCACGCCTAGCCCTACTCTTTTCGCTGGTAGGTTAACCTGATATATATAGTTTCTTATAAACTCTGCATTCTGGGCGACTCCAAATTCCATTAGGTGGGCTAAACGGCAACCTGCTGTTTGGCAATGGAATCAACTCTCCTACTAATTCCAAATTTTTGGATAATAACTTTGTCTGCGTGTTTTAGAAGATGGATTTTCAAAGATTATTATTTCTGTGGGAAATTAATCATGGTATAGTTGGAAACTTTTAGTTTAATCCGATTCTGAGCGTATGCCAAACATGGTTTGATAATACAATTCATTTTATTTATAAAGAATCAAATAAGACATACCAAACACAAGAATTTATTTGACAATTAATTCTACAAAATAATGCATTTTAAAATGAAATGAATTCTTAATTCATTTGGTACCAAAAGGTACATAAATATTAGAGAAAACATAAGCATTTGGAATATCAATTACTGGTTAGATTGAAAATGGGTTTACCACCTCTCTATCTTTTATTTTCAACTTGTTTAAATTTGTTAATGATTTAGTGGGGATTAGTGGTCAGGTTTGAACTTTAACTCTCGTGAGAGGAGTTGTGCATCGCCATAATTTTCATCACTGAAAATTATTATAAAATCGTAATTTATATAGAAAATTTTATAGTACACAAAAAATTAGATCGATTCAAATGACATAAAGCTCATGTTGAAGACAACAGGCTCTCGAATAATATCGCATCCCGTCTGAAGCATCATAAAGTCCTTTCTCGTTAAGACATGCAAAAGACGGAACAATAAAGTCTCCAAGACCTCGATTCAAATGTCATATTTGATAAAAAGTGGTGGATTTCTATACTTTTAGGGACAACTTAATTTTCACCGCATCGGACAATTTTTGGATAGATCGAGAATTCATTCTTTAGAGGAATTTATTGTTAGTTTCAAGTCAGCATAACTCAAGTATGAGTAGCAAAAAATTGTGTGATGATGATTTTGTGTTGTGGTTTTAAGATTATCATTCATTTAAAAGTTACAAGGAATAATTACTTATTAAAATCCAATTAAAATATTAAAATTGAACTATCGAGAACCATAAAAATACTTAAAGGAGACTTAGTGTGCCAACTAATCGTTATGCGAAATTCCTCTATGTTTCAGATTTTAATTATGTGTATGTTTTGTATAAAAAAAGATACATCATAGTTGTTTTGTGTAATTGGTTATGATTGTTGTCTTTGAATAAGGAGATCATTGTTCAAATCTTGGTGTTGCTATATTTTTATGCGAAATAAATAAATAATTATGAAAACTGAAATACTCTTCCTATTTTCATTCTCGTTGCAAGAAATTTGAAATGGAGCAAACCAAACCATTTAAAATGTATTATTAACTATCTCCACTAAAAATTTTCTTAACTATTCTCAATTGAATATTTTATTTATAAAATCCTCTAAGTCTTAACAATACTATGAGTATGTTTTTCAATTATGTCATGAAATTCTCATCCCTCTATTGCAATAAGAAAAAACCATATCTTTACATAACTTATGTCATTCGATCTCCTAAATCCAAGAGTTATAAGTTAGTTATGTACGTCTTCATGATTATAGGCTATGCACCTATATAACCTAGTACGCGTTTTCTTTTTTCAAAAACCATGTCTTTTCATAACTTATGTCATTCGATCTCCTAAATCCAAGAATTATAAGTCAGTTATGCACGTCTTCATGAATATAGGCTATGTACCTATATAACCTAGTACGTGTTTCCTTTTTTATAAAACTTTCATCATTTGGCAATGTTTATGTCATGTTATTTTAAGTTTATCCTAATTCCGAAACACAAAAAAGTGAACAAAACCTTAACACCTACACTTTCATTTTCTAGATTAACCCTTAGTCAGCAAAATAAAAAATCCAAATTTCAATTTTATCAATCATAAAAATACACCAATTACAAGTCATTATCTCTCAATGTTAAAATTACTGTACCACATATCCCAACTCTATAAATAGCATAATAGTTAAAACCAATAGTCATCTTTATGAACCAATTTAGCATTCTTGAAGATCAATGAAAATTATAAACACTAAATCTTACCAAATAGAAAGCAATAAAAAATGAAAGAAATTTTTTAACTATAAAATCTGCTACATTAAATATTAATTTAATAAAAACTAAATAATTAGAGAAAACGCACTCCGCCTCCTATGGCAAAATGAATGACTAACCCTTTCTGGCGTGGGTTTTGTTTTGCCTGCTTGGTAATATAAGTGAAAATAAAAAAAAATATATTTAGTATTATATTACTACCTAAAATTAAGGAGAAGCCATCAAATTTAAAATGAAAAATCTGCTATATTATATTCGAGGAGGAGGATTATCTAGATGGTGGTTACAATTGAAATCGTGGGAAAGATGTCTAGATGGTGTTTACAATTGAAATCGTGGTAACATGAGTCATACCTTTTGTAGATGATTAAGAATACTCCAATATAAATCAAAATGTAACAAAAAAATCATCCTATTTTGAAACAATTAAGACTGAATTTGAAATATAAATGTTTAAAAATTGCTATTATGATGTAGAAATTTTAAATTTTTAATCATTGACATAGGTTAGGAAGATATTGTATTTGTATTTCAGTTTGAATATTGTAAGAATACATAATAGTTGGGAAGGATTGATGAGATGTAAGTTTGGTTTGAGAGAGAGGAGGGGAAATAAATTATATTGTTTGACCTGGAACATGACGGTTGGAAAAGGTTGGGCAAGACGGCTCAAGATAGGGTGCATAACCATGGGTTATGCACCCATCAATAACCAAATCTGGACCCTTCATTTAGAAAATCCAGATCTAAGGATGGAGAATTAAAGGTTATTTTTATTTTCACTAGCTTTTTTAATTGACTCATATCTTTTTCGTTTTAACTCGGATTTTAATTTTTTTTGCACAGATGGAACGAGTTCACCGTGCTCTACATAATGAGATCAATTTTCAATATTTTTTGAGAAAAAAAAATTCTGGCCTCTCGGTACCAACTGCATACCATATGGTATCTTCTTCGTTTTTAATTCGTTTTTGAAAACGTTTGCACAGCAGGGACGAGTTCATCATGATCTACTGGATCTACAAATTTCTGGGTGAACAAATTACAGGACCAAAAAATACCACACAATACCATACAATACCACCCTGGTACGGGGTGGTATTGTATGGTATCTTCTTCGTTTTTAATTCGTTTTTGAAAACGTTTGCACAGAAGGGACGAGTTCATCATGATCTATTGGATCTACAAATTTCTGGGTGAACAAATTACAGGACCAAAAAATACCACACAATACCATACAATACCACCCTGGTACGGGGTGGTATTGTGTTGTATACAATGTTAAAAGTCGTAAATTACAATTAATATGCTTCTACTATCATGTATTCAACCATCCTACAGTTTGGTTTGTTCATACCACCATGGTACGTTTTTCAAAACATATGTATGCTTTTATTTCAATACCAGTCAATACCATATGGTATAGGCTGGTAAAAAATGGCTCAATTTTTTTTTGTTCGAAAAATATATTAAAGTGGATATCATTTTGAAGAGCACAATTAATCTGATCTAACTGTGCAAAAAAAAAATAAATTTCGACTTAAAATGAGCGAGAAATCGTCCGTCAAAGATTAAAGAGAGAAAAATTAAAGACTTTCTATGAGAGAGAGGATGCTGATGTCATGCTGATGTTGACAGGTTACTCATGGTTACTCACCATAAGGTTACTGACCTGATCCATTCCCGGGCAAGACGGGTGATGTTGGAATTGGGAGCAGCTGCATGAAGCATGCACAATAGGGACTCGTACTGATTCATACTCAACGAGTCCCCTACGAACATTATCTTCTTCCCTTTCATCCTCCTCAAGAACTCCACCCCATTGAATCTACACAAGCCACATTATTTTAAAATTTCATCATAACTACTCGTTCGTTGACATACAAACCGAACAACAAATAGCAGGATTCTTGGGCCCGATACTATACCCTAAACCTTAATTAATGAGTGAATCCTACGTCCTAATTATCTAAATTATAAACTATAAAACCCTAAGATGGTGCATTCATTTTTTGCCTATATTTGGACGAATCATAATCGTCGATTATTGTTTCTAATAAAATTGATGTTGATGTATAAGATTTAGAGAATTAAGACCTAGATTTTTATCTTTAAGGGTTATATATAGTATAGTATCATGTCCGAAACATCAATCAATTCAAGGTCTGGATGGCGTTTTCATACTCAAGGTATGCGGTACTCTGTATTTTACCCGGGGTACTATAGAACTCGCTATATATATATTGAAAAAATATACTTGTATAACCATAACTTTCACGTTTGTGACAAATATAGCCACAACTATCGGAAAACACAAAATAGCCACTTCCGTCTATTCTTTTAATGGTATCAATTCACGGTCTAATTGGGTTGAGGAAAAATACTGAGTTGGCGACGATTTATCAATAACAATATGAGTTGGAATTAATTAAAAAGGTAAAAATAAATAAATTAAACTTTTTTTCTTTTCACTCTCTCCCTTCTCTCCTTTTTCCCCTTTCTGCCCACAACCGCTCATCTCCACCAATGCTCATCTAGAGCCCCCGAATCCTTCCTTCAAGCGCAACCTAAAACAACTGATAAGGATCAAAGTTGTATGATTGGAGTAATCCCCTTTCTTGGCGGGATTTAGCCAGAACTCTCGTTTCTTGGTGAGAATAACCAGTGGTTTGATTGCCAAAATAATGCTTGCCCCTTTATTCATTCATTCTTCGTTTAAATACATTACTGACTCAAAAGAAATAACTGACTCAACCTAGCTTTGTGGAACTACCTTCTACTGCACTCCCCATTATTCTGCTAACTGAAATGACTCTAACAACTAAGACTCCAACAACCTTGACTCATTCTTCCAACGTTCACTTTGCTGCACAATCAGCAAGACTCTGGACTCAACCTACTCGGCAAGCAAGCTTCAATTCCTTTGGCCCAATTACCCCACATAATCCCGATACCTTCTATTGGGCTGGACCGCTCGAGTTGAATGACGGCGGATGAGAGGAACAGTCTCATCATTGCCCGCCCCTGAAGAAACGACATTGTCCTCAATGTCGATTTGGACGAAGCGGTCGTGGAACTCATCCGCGGACTCCCAAGTTGCATCATCGGGAGGAAGAGACTGCCATTGGACGAGCAACTCCTTGACCAGACGAGAACCTCGCCGGGTAAAACGAGTGTCCAAAATGGTTTCGGGCTGCAGGAGGAGCGCCCCATTGTCAGCAATCGGTGGAATTTCCGAGCTCGCAGACGAAGGCGGGGTCGGACAAGGGCGCAGCAGAGACACATGAAAAACCGGGTGAACGCGGCTGCCGGGAGGTAAGCCAAGACGGTAGGCAACAGGGCCAATACACTCCGTGATCAGATATGGGCCATAGTAACGGCAGGCCAGTTTTTGAGATGCCCGACGGAACACCAAATGCTGTCGATACGGCTGCAATTTCAAGTAAACCCAATCCCCAACTTGGAATTGGACTTCGCGACGTCTCAAGTCCGCATTCTGCTTCATGCGATGCTGAGCCACCGCCAGATTACTCTTAAGCTCATTAAGGAGATCATTCCTATCCAGCAGCTGTTGATCCACCTCATGAACCGCCGTCGCACCTGGCCGATATGAAGGAATGGTGGGAGGCAAACGACCATACAAAGCCTGAAAGGGCGACATACCTGCCGAGCTGTGGAAGGAAGTATTGTACCAGAATTCAGCCCAGGGAAGCGACAGGAGCCAGCGTTTGGGTTGCTGATGCGTAAAGCATCGTAGATAATGTTCCACACAGCGATTCACGACCTCCGTTTGGCCGTCGGTCTGCGGGTGGTAGGAGGAGGACATCAGCAGAGTTGTGCCTGATTGACGGTGCAATTCTTGCCAAAAATGGCTCATGAACACGCGATCCCGGTCGCTGACGATGGAACGAGGGGGACCATGGAGGAGCACAATCCCGGTCACGAACTGATCAGCCACCGTGCGCGCAGTATAAGGGTGGGACAAGGCGAGGAAGTGGGCGTATTTGGTCAGGCGATCAACGACCACCAGGATCACCGTCTTCCCACCGGAACTGGGTAACCCGTCAATGAAATCCATCGACACATCTTCCCAAACCTGGGTCGGAATGGGCAGGGGATGGAGGAGTCCTGCCGGGGTGAGAGCTTGAACCTTGGCCCGATTACAAACGTCACAGGCGTTGACGAAACTCTGAACGTCCTTCAGCATCCCCGGCCAATAGAACTGGGCGGCCAGCCTCTTCTGAGTGCGTAGGATGCCGGAGTGGCCGCCTGCAAGAGTGGAATGGAACTCGTGCAGCAGCTGGTGAATTAGGGGAGAGTGGGGCGGGATTACGACGCGGCGACGGTAAAAAACATGTCGTCGCGGATGGAATAAGGCCCCGGATTTGCTGAATTGGCCCGGGCCATGATCCGCTGCATATATGGGTGCGTACGAGCCAAGGATTTCAAATCCTCCCAAAGAGACGTGTGAGGAATGGATACGGCCAGGAGCGCCGAACTCGGCGGCCGCCGACTCAGAGAATCAGCCGCCTGATTCTCCCTCCCTGGTTTGTAGGTAATTTGGTAGTCAAAACCAACTAATTTGGAGACCCAACGTTGTTGCTCGGGCGTAGTTATCCGCTGGTCCAAGAGGTGTTTCAGGCTCTTCTGGTCGGTCCGGATGACGAATCTTTGGCCCAAAATATAAGGCCTCCACGTCTGAATAGCAGTGACGATGGCGAGCATCTCCTTGGCATAGGTCGATAGGGCCTGTTTTGCCTTACCCAAAGCCCGACTCATGTAGGCGATGGGCTGCTCGTTCTGCATCAAAACCGCGCCGATTCCCTCATCGGAAGCATCCGTCTCAATGACGAACGGCGCGTTGAAATTGGGCATGGCGAGAACTGGGGTGGTGGACATGGCGGTTTTCAACTTATGGAAGGCCTCTTCTGCAGCAGGAGACCACGCGAATTGCCCTTTCTTAAGGAGGTTGGTGAGCGCCCGGGCAATGGAGCCGTAATCCCGAACAAACTTGCGGTAATAGCCGGTAAGCCCCAAGAAACCGCGAAGCTCGGTGATGGTGGTGGGAATGGGCCAGTCGAGCATGGCCTGAATTTTGCTAGGATCGACCTTGACCCCCTGGTTGGTGATGATGTGGCCTAGGTACTCGATCTCCTGGAGGCCGAAAGCGCATTTAGAGAATTTGACGAAGAACTGGTGATGCCGCAGGGTGAGGAGAACTTTTCGCACATGTTCCCGATGGCTCTCCATGTCAGGGCTGTACACCAGGATGTCGTCGAAGAATACCAATACAAATTTGCGGAGCATAGGCCTGAAAATCTCATTCATAATGGCTTGAAACGTAGAAGGCGCATTGCAAAGGCCAAAGGGCATCACCAAGTATTCGTAATGACCATTGTGCGTACGAAAGGCAGTTTTGGGAACATCGGCAGGATGCATTCGCACTTGGTGATAGCCGGCTCGCAGGTCCAACTTCGTGAAAAAGGCAGCCCCATGGAGTTCGTCGAGCATATCCTCGACGGTTGGGATCGGAAATCGGTCTTTGATGGTGGCCGAGTTGAGTGCGCGGTAGTCAGTACAGAAGCGCCAGGTACCGTCTTTCTTTTTGACCAATAAGACCGGGGAGGAGAATGGACTGGTAGATGGCTGGATGAGACCGGCAGCGAGCATCTTGTTGACCTGTTCTTCGATCTCGCCCTTCTGAAAGTAGGCGTAGCGGTACGGTCGAACATTGATAGCTTCCGTGCCATCCTCAGGGTAATACGATGGTCAATGCGGCGGCGCGGTGGTAGCTGGCTCGGTTCATCGAACAGGTCGCCGAAGTCGCGGATAATGTCCTGAAGGTCGTGAGGCACCGGCCGCAGTGGATCTTCAGCCGGGGGAGGAAGGCAAATCGCGCGGAGGCCGGGTTCCTCCTTCATGATGCATTTGAGGGTGGCTTCGGTAGGTCCCGAATTGGTGATGCCATGCAAATGGCGCCGGCGACCTTCCCAGTCGAACTCCATTGCTAGCGTTTTCCAATTGCTTTGGACAGTGCCCAAAGTCTCTAGCCACTGAATTCCGAGGACGATGTCGAACCCTGCGAGAGGAATAGCGTAGAGGGTGACAGGGAATCGGGTGCCTTGAATGTTGAGGACCACGTTATCATGCCGGCCGTCGCATTTCAGTGGTTCTCCGTTTGCGATTTTGACGTTGAAGGGAGCGATGGAGGAACCTGGAAGGTGGAGAGCTTCGGCTGTTTTGTTTTTGATGAAGTTGTGGGTCGACCCACTGTCGATTAACACAACCAGCTGAGTTCGGCCCACTTGGGCCCAGACCCTCATTGTCCTGCCTCCAGTCCGGCCCGTGATGGCGTGGAAGGAAACCTCGGCATCTTCAACTCCGATCGGCTCGTCTTCCTCTTCATCCAACAGCAACATCAGGCGAGGTTTGGCACAACGGTGGGCGGGGGTGAATTTTTCGTCGCAGTTGAAGCACAGACCGGCTTGACGACGCCGGTGCATCTCATCATAGGGTATGTGCCGCCCTCCCGGCGGTGGTTGAGGTCGATTGCGGATTTGCGATGGGGCCTCGACCGGTCTTGGACGTGCCGCAAATGTGGGCTCGAAGGTAGGTCTATTTCTTGGTCGGGGTGGAGTTGCATAGTCCACCGGTGATCGATAGGAACTCCGGGGAGGACTTTGATAGCGCCCGAGTTGTTCCTCACGCACACGGGCTAAGCTGATTGCCTCTCTCAATGTACGGGGATTGAAGATTCGAATCCCTTCGGCGATTTCAGATTTCAATCCGCCCAAAAAAGT